GTTTTATAAATTAAGAATTTTTATAGTGAAATTTAACCTTCCTCCTCTTAAAATGAAAATCATTTTTATGAAAGTACTAATTAAAATATTAAAACTTTTACCATTTTGATGTGACATCTTATATGAATTTTTTTACATGTACTCTATATTCGCATGACACTATTTATCTTATGTACTGTGTTAATAAATAATTTAAAATTATAAAAATATCCAATAATAATAATAACTCAAAAAATAGCATGGAGTATATTATATCTTTTTGCATATTGCAATGTTAACATGATTGCAAATTTAATATTTTAATTAAAAAACAATTAAACTTTGGGTTAAGTTAAAAAAATACTCAAAGTATGCCCTTTTTCCTTTAAGTATTAGACAATTTTTTTGGTTAAACGAAATCCTCAAATTATGATTATTTTTATTTCAAGCCCCTAAATTATTTTTCGTCAAAAAAAATGCCTAATTTTATATGATATGTCAACGTTTTTTTAGTAAAAAAAATATTTTTCTAACTAAAAATGATAAGACTTGAATGACTAAATATAATAGTTTAAGGATTAGTTTGACAGAAAATAGTTTAAATACTTATAAAAAATTATAATCTGATTACTTGTTTTACTTTAAGTCTTAGACTTTTATTAAAATATTAAAGGTTCAATTTAACTAAAATGAAAAATAAAACACAAAGGGGTAAAAATGTAAAGGATAAACCACACATTTAGTACCTAAACATTAGTTTTGGTTTATTTTAATACCTGAACTTTTAATTTTTTTCAAAACCATACCTAACATTTAGTTTTCATCTCATTTTAGTATCCACCGTTGAAAACTTAATGTGCTTAGTACCTAAACTATCAATTTTAGTATATTTTAATACCTAAACTCTCAATTTTTTTCAAAACTTGACTTTAAATTTTGAACGTATACTAAAATTAAATAAAAACTAAAGTTCTTAACGGTTGGTACTAAAATGAAACAAAAACTAGACTTTCGAAATTATTTTAAAAAAATTAAAAATTTAGATACTAAAATTATCATATAAAGCACTAACATCTATTAAACAAACCGATGGTGTCCCCGAGAAGTCAAGACAAATAAAAAGGGGCCATTTTTTAGAGTGATTGTAAGTAATGCATTGAATCTCACCTTTTCTTGCCTAATTTATGAGGAAAGTTCAGTTAACCTACCATTTAATAAGAGACAAGTCCATTTTATTAGTACCAAGTGGACTGCTGCCTTTTGCGATTGGGCAAATCATAATTGTCTATATGTATTTATATCTATTGGTAGACCATTAGGGTTTTCGTATTAACAAAACCTTGTGTTTGGAAAAATAATTGTCTATTATGTCACATGACAATCAAATTTAAGTGCATGTGATATAGTCTGAAAATGAAAGATATTTTATTTTGACAACCATTACCCAATCACAATGGAACTTTCTTACAATACTAAAAAAATAAAATAAAATTGAACCAAGTTACTTCGGTGGTTAAATGAATGATTTTTATTCTTAGACGTCATGGATTCGAGCACCAGCAACTGCATCAGAGGTGATTGATGGTTTATTGTCAAATGGTTTAGAGTACTTAAAACATATACTACTTTGTAATTAGGGGTGCTTAATGAGTTGAGTAACTTGAACTCGACTCGGTCATAGCTCGGTAAAAACTCGACTCAGGTTCGAGCTTAGCTCGAGACCTTAACGAGTGGAGTCGAACAAAGTCCAGCTCGACTCGATAAGTTCGCGAGCAACTTGTTAATTTTTTAATATAATTTTTTAAGTAGTTACCTTAAAAAAATATTTCATTCAAAGAAATTACTAATTTACTAATAAAAAATAAAAAATATATATAGGTTGCTAATCTTTTGTTTTTTAATAAATAAAAATACTAAATTATTAATTAATATTTTACTACACTCAAAAATCAAATCTTAGGGGTTGTTTGTTTACTTCAGAATGATTACGCGTTGAATAATTCAATGGCCTGAATGATTCAGAGGCTCTGTATGAATTAGCTCTGAATGCGACATGCTGTTTGATAATGAATCTGAATCATTCAGAATGTACTTTGATGTTGAACCATTCAACACTGTTTTGCTGAACCATTCAATATAGTCTTCATTCAGTGGTTAGAAACAAACACGCTGAATGTTGAACGGTTCAACATTCAACGTTGAATGGTTCTATTCAGAGCCAAACAAACAACCCCTTATTTATTATTTTAATATATTAGCATATTGTTATTTTAGGATTTAGATTTTAAAATTACTTCATACATTCTTTTGATATTTTTTTGGTTAAATCTATTAATTTATGATTATATTAAGGTCTATATACTATTAGTATATTTTACCTATAGTTAAGAAAATAAGGTAGAATTTTCGGTGAGCTTAACGAGCAACGAGTCGAACAACAAATTTTTTCAATGAGTACAAGTCGAACAAAATTTTAACGAACAACGAGTCGAGTCGAGTTAAGCAACAAATTTTTTTAACAAACACTAATCTCAAAATTAGTTGAGCATTTTTTCACGATCTCAAAATTCAAAGCACTATTATTATTAGGGTAAATATATATTTCAATACTAAAATTTTACTTTGATTTCTAAGTTTTTTTTTGTTATTCTTATTCAATTTGGTATCTAAATTTGTTTTTTTTTTAAATAAATACTTGTGGATTTTAACTGTTTTGAATCAAGAAGCCAAGTTCAAGTATCAATTTGAAGAAGAAAAAACATAAAATTCAAATACATAATTGGACAAACAAATTAATTACTAATTGAATATTTAAATCAAATTCAAATATTTAATTGGACGAATAAAGATTGATATCATTTGAGCAGATTTTGGGTTCGAGTATTTTTTAATGCATATAAAAGAACCTTAGGAATAGCCTTTTTATTTTTAATGTCATTTATAATTAAAATATATGAATTGAAAGGAAAATAAATAATATATATTTTTCATTTTCCAAATGAACCTCAATCATTCATACTCCAAGTGCCACACTGGCAAGCATCAATGTCAGATTGATGAATGAACCGCCCTTTCTTCTTCTTTGATTTGACAAAATTGACGAAAATTTGATTTGGCAAACTTTTATTTGATTTTAACAGCGTGCTGCAGTTTTAATATATAGTTAGAAAAAAGTATTGTCGGTTTTGTTAATATTTTATTAAAAATATTAAAATATATTGATGTTTTAAGTAAAAATAATAATATTTTAAATAATTTTTATCGATTTTATTATTATTTAAAAAAGTAATAAAATCAATAATATTTTTTTTAATTGATTTTAAGAATGTCACACTATAAAACTTCCCAAGATAGATATTCGATTCTCCAAATACCAACTTCATTCATTGCACAACACCTTTGCCTTTAGCTCTCATAGCCTTTTCTTTGATTGCATGCTGTGTCTTGCCCGAAACAGTTGCATGAAAACTTTTATAATTTGACGTCTTCACCACACTTGATCAATGCTAAAACAGTTGGTACTATACAAATCTGACTTATTTCATGTATACAACTATATATATATGATTCAATTATATATTGTAATTTTCTTTTTTAATTTTACGTAAATTTAATATTGTTGGATGAGTGCAAATAAAATATTAAGGATACTTAATAATTAGATTGCTTTTTTTAACTATCAGTATTCAAATATCTATTAGTCGATTATTTCATATCATATTTTGCATATGCTCATTATGGGGGCGACTCTCTCAATTTAGGTTATTTCATTCACAAATGTTAGGGTTCAAACTCTTAACCTTATTTAATGAGTATTGAATCCACGACCTAAGGGAGAAGATATATCAACTGAGAGCTTTTAACCACGTGCTCTAGAGATTGTTGACTTGATTTATTTATTTTAATGAGTAAGCAAAATTAAATTTGAATTTAATCAAAATTATTGAAATATCATAATCAAAACTTAATTTATGTAAGTATATTAACTTTGATCGATAATTTTAAAATATACCCCCTACAAATACTTTTGAAATATAGATAATATATCTAATCTCATGTCTGAAAATGTAACTGAAACGGACATATTAAACTACTAATATTTTTCTGTAAGGATTTTGGGCCTTTAATGTTAAGGTGAAACCAGAGTTCCTTGGTTTGATTTTGGGCCTTGACACCTGATTTTTGTGCTACTCAGCTGCGAGTTCTGTAAACAAAGCTCCATCTTCATGTTAATACTGTCAATTTGACATGCCTTTTTTACCATAGATACAATTTTAATATGAGAGGGAATCCTCTTGTTACAGTTATTATTATTATTTTTCAATAATATGAGCCGAGTATAAAATAATATCGATTTATAATTTAAGATAAATTTTTTACAACATATACCCTGCATATATAATTTCTCGAACTCAGAATATCTTAAAGAAAACAACTACCGAAACCACTTGATAGGTTCTTATTATAATGATTATTTAATTGACATAAATAAAAAGAAAAATGTTATTTTAATAGGAACAAGTTACATAGGATTTTGAGAAACCTTTGACTTTATTTTTCTTTTAACTGCGAGTTGATGATAATTGTTAATGATCTTAATTTGATTGTAGTTTTATTTGAAATTAAATTGAAAAAGTGAATTATAGACCCCAAAATAAAATTTTTAAATAGTAAAAATAATAAATCTTATAAGTAATGATTGTATAAATTAGGAGAAAGAGTAAAATTGAGTGATAATTAGCGTAATTTATCAAAAAAAAATCAATACGAAGGTATACACAAATTCTCTCATTTTCTCAGACTTTATTAAAATACCGACGGTCTATTTTATCAAATAAAAAAAAAAGGAAAAAAAAAAGAAAAAAGAAAAAAAGAAATTGCCGCTAGATCTGCGGTTTCAATTGTGATTCAATCAGGTTCAGGCTTTGTTTATCTTGTTTGTTACATTTGTCCTCTTTTTTCCCTCACATTTAGATTTGTTTCGTTTTACTATTTATTATATTATTGGTTTGGATTTCTTATTTCGTAGATCTATTTCTACATTTTTGTCTGAGTTTAGCTACATTCGCGTCGCTTTGATTATGTTTTCATCTTGTTTAGATTGATAATTGTTTATGAAGGTTTATCGTTTCTCTTTCTGATCGAACGATTGGAGCTTTGTTTCTTTTTATTGTAAGTTGCATTTAAACAATTATATATACACACATTTTAGGTTGTTTTTCTTTGGAATGATTCTTAGGTTGACGATTACAAGATTCAGGGATCTGTTAATCATACATCTTGAAATTGTAGAATTTTGATCCCAATTAGCTTCTTTGAATAATAAAGCTTAATTTCATTTTATTGTCTGTAAATGATCTTGAATTTTGCTTTGAATTCTTTGACTTCTCTTTGTAATGTTTTGAGCTGTTACGCTCAAATGCATCTAATTTTACTCTATTGTGTGCGAGATCTGATCTTTCCATTTCTTGCCTCTCTAACGTGACAGGACTTCTTCATTTTGAAGGCAGGCTACGATGAAGAAGGCCTTAGGCCAAGCTGTTAGAGACCTGTAAGTGTGCTATTAGTTACTAATTCCTGTATCTGATGAACATTTGTTAAATCGTTTTGAATATTTAACAGTGTAAAGCAATAAATTTGCAAGTGTTATTTGTGAGGCATTATGTGGATCATTTTTTTTATCTTTTTGTATTCGTGCACCTTGGAATTTGCTATATAACTAGTGCCTAAATTATTTTTTATTCTTTGTTCCTGCAGCAAGCGAGGAGTTAATAAGAAAGTTCTTAAAGTTCCGGGAATAGAGCAGAAGGTAAGAATAATTTTTAGAAAGTTCACTGAGTTCTGTGGTGGGTGAAGAAATGGGATTATAAACAGAATCGAACATATGATTTTTTGGGTAAAGTTCTGAAGGATTAATGCTCTTGTCTACATTATAGAGAGGTGACACTGAGGGGAAAACATTTGTTTTCTGAAAAAAAATGAAACCGGTAAGAGAATTGTGAACTCTTTAGATTAGGGTGGTTTACTATCAGTCAGAGGCCTGCATGTTCCCTTTCTCAACTAAGCACTACAAGAAATGGAGCTTTCTGAAAAGTGATAATTTTGTTTGTAAGAAGAGCTTATGATGTGATTTAGGGGAAGAAAACAATAGTGACTGAAAGAATTAAGGCTGTAAAACGGGTTAGAAAGAAGTTGGAACTCTAGAGAACATTGTGTTACATAAAACCCCTAATTTCTTTAAATTAATTCAAAGAAAACAATAAGGATACTGCTGGCTGTAAAGCCTACAACCTGTTTATAGTAGGCTTTCTTGCAAATAAAGTTTCTAAACTCTTTTGCAAATAAAGCTCTATCCCTACCCTTAGATTTAAACCCTAAAACTAACTAATAATCCTAGCTTCAATAATATACCTAATACTTGGTAAAAAAAACTGAAACGATAAAATATTATAAAATAAATAAAGCTCTCCTGCATCAGCATTCTGGTGTTGAGCTTCCTGTTACAGGGCCGGTTTGAGCCTCTGAGTAAAATGTTTGGATAGATCCAAAAGGGTACTAAGAGGACTGATTCTTATATTTGCTCTAGGATCCCAAATTTTCATTATAAACTTCTCCTTAACTTTGAAAAGTGTTTCTAATGCTGATTGAGCTGACTCTTGACTGAATATCACCAGTAATACAATTAAAATTTTGTTTAACTGCTTGAAATAATAATACTTTATTCCTTGTCTTTAGGTTCTTGATGCCACCAGCAATGAGCCCTGGGGTCCTCATGGATCACTTCTTGCAGATATTGCCATGGCTACAAGAAATCTGTAAGCTAAAGGGAAATTATGTTTGATCTTCGTTACTTATTTGTTATGGAGAAATTTATTTTGCAAATCTTCATACAGTCACGAATACCAGATAATCATGGCAGTAATCTGGAAACGTATAAACGACACTGGAAAGAATTGGCGTCATGTTTACAAGGTTAGCATTTTTGTGGAGGGATTATGTTAGCTTTCATTTTATAAGATTGAGTGTTAAATATTTGAGCCTTTATTTAATGTTCAAGGAATGTTTTATTTTGGGGGTTTTGGAAATATTTAAATGATTTGGTGGGAGTTTTTCAAAAGTCAAAATTCTCTTAAATGTTTGTTATATCGAAAAGGGGGAGATTGTTAGCTTTGATTTTATAAGATTTTGATATAACAACGTTCAAGATATTTTTTTCATATGTATTTCCAAAGTCATTTTGTGAAATTTTTATTGAAGATTCTATGAAACATTTTCAAAGTATTTAAAACCTCAAAAATATGGGGGAGATTGTTGAGTTTGAATTTAATATTTGATATAAAAAAATTAAATTAAAAATGTTTTTGGACTTGGTCAAAATTTTCAATTTGTTTAGTTGTGTTTAGTATCAATTTGTTTTCTCTGCAACTGAAAAAAGTGTCTGTCTAGATATTCATGTAATTGTTGATATTTTATCCTTTCACTAAATCTCTTTTTATTTTGCATGGTCTTTGTGTTGTGATGTAGTACATTTTTTCTGTATTATATTTTGATTTGTGTTTTCTCTTCTCTATATTATTTACTTTTCCTCCGTTTCTCCTCTACTTTAAAACATACCATGAAGTAAGTTGTGTTATTTATTGAACTTTCAGGGTCTGACTGTTTTGGAGTACCTTGTTGCCCATGGATCAGAGCGTATGATAGAAGACATAAGAGAACGTGCATCTCAAATATCGGTAGTGTTTGTTTCTTATGACATTATTTTATGCAATGGTGATGACATTATCTGCTGCTCGTTGTGTTTAAATATTTTTGGTCTGATTAATATTCCATTTCATGTTACAGAGTTTGTCCGACTTTCAGTATATTGATTCCAGTGGAAGAGACCAGGGTAGCAATATCCGAAAAAAATCTCAGAGCCTTGTAGCTCTAGTCACCAATAAAGAAAGGATAATTGAAGTAAGACAAAAGGCTGCAGCTAACAGGGATAAGTGAGTTTGCAAACGTGTATTTTAATTTCCTTGCTGTTTTCAACATATGACCAGCATTGGCAAAATTGATCAGCATGCATATTTTCATCATGACAAGTACATGTGTGTGAGAGCTTATGTACTTTCAACACGACAATACATGTGTGCAAGAGCATGCAAATATATACATGCACCTTCTCTTGCATTTGGACTCTGATCTCTTGTTTTAATGGGAAGCATCTTAATAGCTTGGTCCATTAGTAGAGCACAAGGCTCTTAACCTTGGGGTCGTGGGATCGAGTCCCACGGAGGGCATTTCATAATTCGGAGGTCTCCTACGGAAGCTGCTCTCAACCTAGCGTTGGGGGCAGCCTACTATCCTACCTCCCCTTACCCCATTACATATGGGAATAAGGGTCAGCTAATTTTCTAGTATATTTTCACCATTGTTGCCAATAATAGTGATTTCTATAGGTTTTTATTGTTCTCCCATTACAATTTTGAATCTTTTCCATAGCTATGGTCCTATACCTTTTCTAATTGAGTTCTATTTCTCTATGTTCTGATGACATTTCTTGCTCACGATTCTCAGTATCCGCGATTTTATTTTCTTGTCCCAAATAATTTTCCTCGAAATCGTTTTAGTATAGGAGAATATAAATGAATGGAAATGCACAATTCTTCCATAATGCATAACTATTTGTTTTACAGGTTACAAAACACACCAACAGGTGGAATGCATGGGCCAGGTTCTGGGGGACAGGGGGACAAATATGATTATGATTATCAATATGGTTATGGAAAAGACAGGGAATACGGTTATAGAGATGATGATCGGTATGGTAGATATTCAGATGCTAATAGTCGTGACGGAGATCGTTATAGCAGAGATTATGAAGATCGTAATGCCAGAGATGATTACAGGTATGATGAGCACAGAGGTAAAACTAGAAACGTCGATGGTAATCAACATGGCACAAGAAGTAGGAGCTCTGATAGAGACCGTGCTTTTGATGATGATGGTGCTTCATCTCGGTATGCATTTATTGAACCTTTTTGGCCTTTATCTCGCTGTGTTCTTTTTAAGAGACATATTAATTTGTTGATTCTGTTATTATACTTTTTCTTGATTATCTGTTGAAGTAATCTTTTGCTTTTTCTGGGTTGCAATTTACACAGTGGAAGATTGAATATTTAATAAGTTCATTTCACTATATTAGGATACTTAAATGGTGCATTTATCCAGTTATTGATGTTCCAGATTTAGTAGTTTTTATGATCCCCCACCCCCCCTGAATTTAAAAGCATGGTGCTCTTACCTTCATTGGATACTTGTCATGAATAACAAGATCATCTTCTTTGCAGGGGCAGCAGTGCTAGAGCTGATAATTACTCTCAAGATGGAAGGTAACCCTTAGTGGATGCATTTTTAACTTGTCTTAGGTGTTCAATTTTTGTTAGCAAATAATTACCGGTTTCTTGTTTCTAGAACTTTATAAAAATAATTATTTTTGTAGGCAGCATGAGCAGAAGTTCTCTGAACAAAAAAATGGTGCTCCTCCTTGTTATGAAGAAGCAGTAAGTGAATCTCGGAGTCCTGTCCATGTTGAAAGGTATTATTTTGTACCATAAATTTTCAGACATGTTGCCTGTAATCAATTTATTCTAGTTGGTGCATTGAAAGATCTTTGATGATAGGGATGGAGAAACTTCAGTACCAGCTGCTTCCAGGTCGTCTTCTCCTGCCACCAATAACTCTAACGAAGCAACCTCTGACTTTGGTATTTCGGCATCCCCATCAAATAAAAATGTGGAGGCTTTCAATGAACTTGATTCACGTGTTTCAGATTCAGGTATGATATTCCTATACGAATACCATCGTTTGTTTATTCCAGTGGCATTGCTTGGATGATCATGGCTGCCTTTCACATGGAATCTGGGGCCATTATTGCTCATCCAATAAGAACATAGGTGGTTTGGATATTTTGACTTTAACAAATACCATGGAAATCTTAAATTTCCAAGTTGTTTAAGTTTGATATCCTATGTTGCTTGACATTCAATTTCATTTTTAAATTTATATCAGTAAAATATATATTTCTTGCAAAAGGGATTTAATTATTTATACGTCTATGGTAACTTTTCTGGATGGAATATTTTGGCAATTGGTTTCTATACAAATTACCGAGTTGTTTAAGCTTGATGTCCTCTGTTGCACGACATTCTATTTTATTTATAACAAATGGATTTAATTATTTATATGACAATAGTAACTTTTCTGGGTGGTAAACTTTGGCAATTGGTTTTTATACAAATTACCGAGTTGATATCCTCTGTTGCTTGACATTCTATCTCATTTTTTTTCTCTGTAAAATATATAGATCTTGCTGAATGGATTTATTTGTTTCTAAGCTGATAGTAAATCTTTTGGATGTTAAACTTGTCAATTGGTTTTATACTAGTGAGAATTTTAAATTATTGTACATGATAATTTTAAATCAGAACATAAAAGACTGTTGTTAGCCTTTTTTTTATTTTGTTTTCCCTTTACTCATTTGAAATGAAATTACTAGTTGGAGTTTCTATCGATTGCATTTGTATGAACATAAATTGGCTTCTTTTTTATGCTATTGCATTTATCCCTTTAACCTGGAACTTAACTTTCTTCTTTGCAGCTGCACCCACTCCTGCTTCTACGCCTGGCCCCGCCCCACCCACTGCCGCTCCCACTGCTTCAACCAGTTCCGAAATAGACTTACTTGGTGATCTGTCAGATTCATGGGCCGTGGTGCCAACTATACTTGAAACCTTTGCACCTGAGCTTGATACCCATGCTAAATCTAGTGCTATGCCCTCCTTTGCTGCCAAGCAATCAACATCCAACTCTGGAAATCAGGTAAATATGACTTGTTTTATTTAGGGACCTCTTAAAGTCCTTTTTCTCTACTTTATATACTAGGATTTCAGTCTACCTGTCTACAATGTGTTTTGATTTGATTCAAGTATCTTTAATTAATCAGCATGTAAAACATGTAGATTTAAAATTGCAGCTACTATGTGTAATAATATTCAATATCATCTTTATATTTACTATAGAAGGTTAAATTTTATTTTTGAACTATATTATTGGCTAATTGATTATGAGAATAACCATTTTCTAGAATTTTCTCTATTTCCTCCCTTTTCCCTATCTCTCCCCTTTATTTTGCCTCTATCTTTCATGTTTGTTCTTCGATTCCAGTGGACACATTTGTTATCGTAGTTCCGTTATTACAGAATAAGTTAGTTTTGCTCTTGATACAGGGTTTTGATGATCCATTTGGTGATGGTCCTTTTAAAGCTTTCCCTTCGTCGGATACTGCCTCAACTCAGCAACAAGTATTAGTTTTCATGACTACTATGCAGCCTACAATGAGCCAAAATGCAGAAGCAACTCAGCCATCTGTAAAATCCGAGATAGTCACAGATTTCAGATTTGGGGAGTCATTCTCTGCCAATGCTTATTCTGCTCCCATTTCCTCAAATGGTCAACCTCAAGTGAATTCACAATTTTTGCCTCAAGAATTGTCAGTTTCATATCAGGAAAATGATATATTGGTGGATATTCTTCCACCCTCTGGACCTGTAAATGATGCAGCTTCACATACAGCCCTATTTGCACCACCAGTAGCTACTTATGGTCAATTGGCACAGCCAGCTATTTATGGCCAGCATGCACAATCAGGTGATAGCATGTACCAACTCTCACAGCCAAGTACTAATCCTTATAGTCAGCCTGCGCAACCCAGTTCTGATCCATATAGCCAAAACGAGCAGTCAAGTACTAATCCATATGGCCAACCTGCACAGCCAGATGCTAATCCGTATGTCCTGCCTGCACCGCTAAATGTTAATCATTGCGGTCAGCCTGCTCAGCGAAATGTTAATCCCTATGGGCAGCTGCTCAGCCAAATGTTAATCCCTATGGCCAGCCTGCTCAGCCAAATGGTAATCCATTAGGCATGCCTGCTCAGCCAAATGCTAATCCTTACAGCCAGCCTGCACAGCCGAATGTTAATCCTTACGACCTGCCTGCTCAGCCAAATGCTATTCCATATGGCCAGCCTGCTCAGTCAAATGCTAATCCGTACAGCCAGCCTACACAGCCCAGTGCTAATATATACGACCAGCCTGTACAGCTAAGTGCTAATCCATATGCTCAGCCCACACAGCCAAGTTCAAATAATGGATATGGTAATTTTATCCCCCAGTCTGTGTCTACTGTCACTCAAATTCCGGGATCTGCAGGACAGGGCAGCAATGGGAGCTTAATGGTAGGTTCTAATCCTCCTGTCAGTTCACAAATGGCTCCTCGACCTCAAAATCCTACTGTACCCGCTGCTCAGTTCAACAGTGGAAAATTTCTTTCACAGCAGGGCTCTGCTATGCCAGTTGGTTCGCAGAGTGCCAGTCAAACCACAAATGGATCAGGTGCACATAATAACAATGATGTCGTGGGAGGCTTCCTTTCACAACCAGGATCAAACACTTCAATGGCACCACAGACAGCTCCTCCCTCATCAACGGGAGCACTTGCTAGAGTTCCGCAACCATCAAAGGATAAATTTGAGCCTAAGTCAGCAGTTTGGGCTAATACATTGAGCAGAGGACTGGTCAATTTGAATATATCCGGACGTAGGTACTTGTCTTTCCTGTTGTAAAAATGTCCCTTCCACAATAATTAACGTTATTTGTTTTCTACATGCAGCTAAAACAAACCCATTGGCTGATATTGGAGTTGACTTTGATGCTATTAATCGGAAGGAAAAGAGGTTAGAAAAGCCTGTCCAGACTGCTGTAACAAGTACTATCACGATGGGTAAAGCTATGGGATCCGGTTCTGGGATGGGTCGTGCTGGGGCTAGTGCTCTAAGAGCACCAGCAAATCCTATGATGGGTTCTGGTGTGGGTATGGAAAGCGGAATGGGTGCTGGATCTGTCAGGGGCATGGACATGGGAGGGTATGGCGGTATGAATCAACAACCAACGGGCATGAATCCAGGCATGGGGATGAATAATATGGGTATGAATCCAGGCATTGGGATGAATAACATGGGCTTGTATCCAGGCATGGGGATGAATAATATGGGCATGAACCCAGGCATGAGGATGAACATGATGAGCTCGGGCATGGGGATGAATATGGGAATGGGGCAAATAACTCACATGCAATCCCAAAGTGGAATGCCCGGCAGTTACAACCCAATGATGGGTTCTGGTGGCTACTATCAACAGCCACATGGCGGTGGTGGTTACCGGTGAGAAATCATTGTGAGATAAGAGTGACTGAAGTTGCCTGTGTGCTTGTGAGAGAAAAGAGGCTGCCACAGCAAAACCCAGATGACATGTCGCCATTGAACACCAGCGTCAAGCTGTAATTTTGAAGTCACACATTCTATCGGCAGTGGCCTGATGCGATCAATGTTTGATTCATCTCCTATTATTTCTCATTCTTGTCACTTGTTTGGGCCACCAGAATCTCGGTTCATTGCTGGTTTGACCTGAACCGTTGCGAAAATTGTGTAGCAGTGAAGAGAATATACAACCTTGCTCAGGTTGCCTTTCTTTTCTCTCATCATTCTTCCTTCCATAATGTTATAAATATAAATTATAAATATTTTGAGCATTTTAAGTTTGTTTGGGGGTATAGTGGAATAATAAATTTAATCATCATTTTTCATATTTTTCCCCATAATTAAGGGGAATAAATTAGGAAACAATTCCCAGTAGAATTCCAAGTAACTTTGTTGACCAATTAGACCCTTTATTGTTGTTGACCAATTTGATTGTTAACTAGTAATAGAAAAAATTAAGTGATTTTTTATTCTTATCTGAAATCTAAATAATTATCATATAGATTATTATATATAATATTATCCTAATGTATTAATATCTAAATTATTAAATCAAATAAAGCTCATAGATTACTAATTTAAGGAAAAAATCAGGAGATAATGCTTTCAAAATAAAAAATTCTTTAGATAATGCAGTTGAAGGATTAATTGCTGAGATAAGGTAATTTTTACAGTAAAAGAATTGGTTGTCAGCTGTTCTGTGCAGGTCGCCATGTCCTCCATGCGTCGTGTAGAATGACCAAGCAGTAGGTCGTCATGTACGCCTTCAAACTTTTCACCTTCAAACATGAATCTGTAGCAAAGAGGGAGGTAGGGAAAGGCTGCATCAGTGGAGGAGAAGAGAGGGAGAGAGGGAGAGAGGGAGAATAGATCAACAGTGAACGACACTATTCAAAATACCTTATTTGGGAAAATAATTTTTCTCTTTCCCCATTTCAGCCATTCTTTATTTTCAAAGATTCATGGGAGCAAAATTGCCAAGATATCTAATGTTCCCGTTATCTTAAATAATAAAAATATGATAAAAAATTAAAATAACCCTACTAATATAATTTCCTAACCACCTAATTTGAAGCCTAAACCTAAAATAAATTTTCAATTCAACCCTAAAATTAAACTAAGTTAAATTCAATCCCAAAATAAATTAAATATGTATTTTAAAGCCCATTTAAGTGGTGAGAAGTCCTGCACGCGTTCATTGGCTTCACCACTCGAAATTTAATTTAATTTAAAGTTTAAAAAATGCGATCGAAATTGTTATAAACATTATAATTTTTTAGTTAAATGTAATTTAAAATGTTAATTTTGTTAACATTTTTCGGTTGAAATTTATTAGGTTGTAGCATAATATTTTCGATTTAACCGAAATTATTAAAAATTCATAAAAATATTTTAATCGTTATACTATCTAACTTTTGAAGATAAATTACATTTAATATATAATTAATATATTAAATTTATATTTTTAAATAAGGTTCATAAGAATCATATTTATTTATATAAATTATCATATAATATAAAAATAATATTATAGTGGTAAAATATTATTTTAAATAATCACATTTTTACAATAATACTATTTTTTTCATCCCATAAAATTATAAATAGTAAAATATTGAATATTAAAAATATAAAATATTTTAAATTCTCAAAATTATTAATAGTTTAGTAAATCAAACTCTTTGTATATTATTATTATTTTTATAATTTTGAGTAAAGTATAAAAAATAATAATTTAGAAGGATCATTATAAAAAGAATTAATTAGTCCAAGGATATTCTTGTCCAAAGTGGTGGGAATGTAAGATAATCTAAGAATTTGAGGAATGACATTCTCACCATTTTAACAAAAAAAATACTACTATTGGGAAAAGAGTATTACCCAATAGAGTATTACTGGTAATGTAAGATTCTATGAACCAAACGTGGGAATACAATTTCAAAAAAAAAACATTCCCTTTGATAATGTAAGATTCCGCGAACCAAACGCACTCCAAACGTTTTGTTTTAAAGAAAATAATCTAGTGACCAAAAATCCATAATATACGATTTGATTTTTTTTTGATTTGCGAAAATGACCAACAAATCGCAATGCGATCTCTAATTCGCATTGCGATCTCCACTATCGCAAATTCGCGTTGCATTTCGCGTTGCGATAATTGAAAATTTTCCATTTCGCGTTGCGATTTTCCAGTTCACGTTGCGATTTTCCATTTCGCGTTGCGATAGTCTACAGTTGTCGTTGCGATTTTCCAAATTCGTTGCGATAGTCTACAGTTGTCGTTGCGATTTTCCAAATTCGTTGCGAAAATTCGTTGTGATAGTTAAAAAAAAAGATTTTGTTTCTTAAGAATTTTCTCTAAAAAGATAGTATCCGCGCGGACGTGTACGTATTACGTATTACCACGACCACGATCCGACCCGAGACGGACGGCGGCGGCGGCGCGCGAGAGTCCCCCTTGTTCTCTATCACTCAACAAGGAAGTGGGATTCGTTGCGAAAATCATTGTGATAGTTAAAAAAAATGTTTCTTAAGAATTTTCTCTAAAAAGATGTACCCGCGCGGACGTGTCAAAGACACGTATACCATTACCATTACCATTACCATTACCATACCATTACCACGACCACGACCACGACCACGACCCGACCGGACGGACGGGCGGCGCGCGAGAGTCCCCCTTGTCTCTATCACTCAACAAGGAATGGGAAAGCCAAAGCCTTAAATACCATTCTCAATAGTGTTCCAATACTATGTGCGATTGAGCATTACCAACACTTGTTTCCAATACAATGTGATTATCAGGAAACAATAACAATCATGCAACTTAAAACAACTGAATCAGCAACCAATGCATAGTATTATACGATTAAATATGTCATAATTAAAAGTCAATCTACAATCAATCGCGATTATTGCAATTTTAAGCAAAACATTCAAAAATAATATCATATTTAAGGCTCAATCCCACATAGTATTGGGAACAGTGTTGTAATGCTCAAAATCCCACATAGTATTGGAAACACTATTGGGAATGGTATTAAGGCTTGGCTTTCTCACTTCCTTGTTGAGTGATAGAGAAAAGGAGACTCGCGCGCGCCGCCGCCGTCCGTCCGTCTCGTCTGTCTCTGTCGGTCGTGGTATGGTAATGGTAATACGTGTCTTCGACACGTCCGCGCGGATACTATCTTTTTAGAGAAAATTCTTAAGAAACAAAATCTTTTTTTTTAACTATCGCAACGAATTTGGAAAATCGCAACGACAACTGTAGACTTTCGCAACAACAACTGTAGACTATCGCAACGAATTTAGAAAATCGTAACGACATGTAGACTATCGCAATGCGAAATGGAAAATCGCAACGCGATTTTCAACTATCGCAACGCGAAATGGAAAATCGCATATTTATAATTGAATTTAAAAAATTCTTTGGTGTTGCTAAATACAAATTCCTACCCGACCCGTACCCGATTGAGAGTATCACTTTTTTTATCCATGAGAACATAAGCTGTTGTTTATTCTTCTGGTTGCGACGCCGCCGTTTGTAGTTTATTTCAATCGCACCCCTTGTTTTTCCATTTCGCTTGATTAATTCCGAGATATGGGTAAGCTTAATTCTCCATTAATTCTTCGTTCAATTGTTAATGGTGGAAAGATTTTTTCTAATTTCCACTCTTCTTCTCGGAAAACGATTGCTACCCACATCGAAGGTTTAAATAAGAACACCATGTCTGTAAGGGGTAAGCGAAACAAGTATTATAGTTTCGTTAATGTTGGTGATGCTTTGATTTTGTTTGATGAGATGATTCACAAGTACCCTAGGCCTTCAATTGTGGAGTTCACTCAGCTATTAGGAGCAATTGTTAGAATGAAACATTATTCCGTAGTTGTTTCTATGTGTAGCCGGATGGAACTATCGGGAGTTCCCCATAATGTTTATTCTTTCAACATCTTGATTAATTGCTTTTGTCGATTAAGTCAAATTGATCTTGGGTTTTCAGTTCTGGGGAAGATGCTGAAGTTAGGCGTTGAACCTGATGTTGTAACTTTGTCCACATTGATTAAAGGACTTTGTAACCGAAGCAGGATTTCTCAGGCTGTGAGTTTGTTTCATGAAATGATCGAAAAAGGGTATCAACCTGATTCGATTGCTTACAATACAATACTTAATGGGCTGTGTAAGACTGGCAATACCATTCGAGCTGTTACGTTCCTAAGGATGATGGAAGAAAGAGGGTTGGACCCCAATATTATAGCATATAGCACTGTCATTGCCGGTCTTTGTAAGAACAGATTACTAAATGAGGCTCTTGATCTCTTCTCCAAAATGAAGGTTAAGGGTATTAGACCAAATATTGTTATTTACAATTGCTTAATACATGGTATGTGTAATTCAGGCCGGAAGGAGGCAACAAGGCTTCTGAATGAAATGCTGGATGGCAATATTTCACCTGATATTTTCACGTATAATATATTGGTCATGCACATTGCAAGGATGGAAGATTTCTAAAGCTAAAGATACCATTGATACGATGAGAAAGCAAGGCCTTGAGCCTGATCTTGTCACGTATAATATATTGGTTGCTGCGCAATGCAAGGAAGGCCTAATTTCTGAATCTTTAGGTACTGTTGACACAATGAGAAAGCATGGCATTGAGCCCGATGTTTTCACATATAGTATATTGGTTGATGCGCATTCCAAGGTGGGGATGGTGTCTGCAGCTGAAGATATTGTCGACAAAATGAGAAAACAAGGCATTGAGCCTGACGTTGTCGCATATAATATATTGCTTGATGCTTATTGCAAGGAGGGGAAGATCTCTAAAGCTGTAGGTACCATTATCACAATGAGAAAGCAAGGCGTTGAGCCTGATGTTGTGACGTACAATATATTGATCGATGCACTTTGCAAGAAGGGGATGGTTTGTGAAGCTGAATATATTGCTGACTCAATGAGAAAACAACGCATTGAGCTTGATGTTATCACATACAGAATTCTTATGCAAGGCATGTGTCAAGTAGGCAGAGTTTCAACTGCATGTGAACTTTTGAGAAAGATGCATGCTTCTGAACAAGCTCCAGATCTAAGAGCCTATTCAATTTTGCTGGATGGTTTATGCAAAAGTGGCGAACTCAAAGAGGTATTGAAGGTTTTTCAAGAAATGCGGAATAGTGGGTTGAAACTTGATATTGACTCTTATAGTATTGTAATTGATGTCTTCTGCAAAGCTGGGCATATTGAAGCCGCGAAGATGTTATTTCAGGAACTCTCAGTCAATGATTTAAAACCCAATGTCTACACATATACTATAATGATTGATGGATTCTGTAATAAGGGACTGTTAGACGAAGCATACCAATTGTTTAGGAGCATGGGAGATAATGATTGTTTGCCTGGTAGCTGCTGTTATAATCTGATGATCCAGGGGTTTCTTCGGAACAATTGCATCTCAAAGGCAGTTCAACTTCTTATGGAAATGGCCATTAAGGGATTTTTTGCAGATTTCTGCACTTCCACCTTATTTGTGGATCTCATATTACGATCTAATAAATCAATTTTGATTTGAAATGAATGCTTCATAGATAGTGGAAAGATTTCCATTTGCAAATGTGAATCAATTTGTCTATAACCAATTGTACTTTTGTGATAAGTTAAAAGTTTATTGAAACTACAACGAGTATTAAGGTCTATTTTCAGTTTAGTTAGTGGACTTTAAACATTAAGGAAACAGATAAATGCTATACACCATGTTTCAATTTTCACTAGTGATCTTTTTGAGAAGATTTTCTTCTGGTACCTCTGCACAAAGTGAGAATCTTGTCGATGGTAAAGTAGAAAATATGGTGTATAACATCTTTGAAAACCTAAAAATTAAGGGGGGGAATCGTGAAACTCTATCTCCTCTGCAGCTCTAATTGGAAGCTCCACCTTTCTTCATTGTGATGACTGTTTCCTGCCAAGCTGAGCTCATATTCAGCACCAATGACAATATTGTGGGTAAAGCCTCAATGCTCCACTGCAAAAGCTTGAAACAAGATCAAAGCTTCACATACAAAAGGCTGAAACACTTGCTGGTCTCAATTGGCAACTCTAGGAAGTGCCTCTCTGTTTCTTTCTTTCCTTAAAATGCTTATCACATAGTTGTACGGTTTAGGAATATAATAGTAACAGTATTTCTAATGCTTAGCAAGTTTTTGAGAAAACAGTTAACATTAACTTGTTTGGTGCTATATCTATGAAGGCTTTGCTTTCAAGCTTGTTTAGTGCGCAAGGTGCCTATCTAAAATCTAGCCTTGGAAGCTATAGTTAATCTGACGAGGATGTCACCTGTGGTCTTCTGCTTAAGTCTCAATGCATCCAGCGGAACAGATTGTAATGCTTCTTTAAAACTAAGTGAATGGAATTCATATTTCTGCTATTAATAATGGTGTCATAGTTTTAGTGTGCATACTATCTTCTCCACCTACTGTGATGAGACTGTTACCAATGATTAAATTGCTGCTAAACCAAAAGAGCATGTTATCATGCTTCTCACCCGAGGAGGAGCTCGATGTGAAGACAATCATCCACTTAACCTACTTGGTTGTAATCAGAAGTGACTAAAGCTAAACATAGTAGTGCTAGAGATTCTAACTACATCACAAGTAGCCCAGACAACACTTATTGCTCTAACACATTAGTAGTTCTTATGATCCTCCCTATAGAATTTTAAGTATGTCACTCTTACCTTCATGGTATGCTCATCTTCTCTTGCAGGGGTAGCAGTGCTAGAGCTGGTGAGTATTCCCAGGATGGAATGTACCCCTCAGTGGATGCATTCATAACTAATTAACTGGCCTTATCTGATCAATTTTTTGCTACTTGTTTCTAAAATTTCTTAAAAATCAATTTTTTTAGGTGACACGAGCAGTTCTCTGAACAAAATAATGGTGTTCCTCCCTGTTAAGAAAAAGCAGTTAGTGAATCTCGGAGTCCTGTCCATAGTGAAAGGTATAATCTGTGCCTTAAATTTTCGGTGACATGTTGCTTGCAATCATGTTTTTCTATATGGTACACTGAAAAAGATCATTGATGACAGGGATGGAGAAACTTCAGTAGCAGCTGTTCTATTGTAGCCTACAAGTGTTTTGTCATTTGATTTAAGTGTCTGTTAATTGAAACTAATTGGATGGTTAAAATTGAAACTCGCCATGCATAAATATGTTCGAGCAATGATTTTGATATCCTCTTATGTTGCTTCATATTCGATTTCTTTTTTGTTCCTCATGTAACTTTCCTAGTCCTGTTGCTAGGGATGGACTGAGGGGGCGGGTGGGGCACTCGTCTCCTGAAATTTTAAAATTACTATATATTTTAGATTTTTTTTCTATGTATTTTTTTATTGAAAATCTGTTTTCGTCCCCCTAACATAGAATCATTCGTCTCTAACCTTTAACTTTAAGAGATTTCTACTCATTTAAAATGGTTAAATAGGGTCAAAAGTTTTGTAATTTATAATATATGGCATTTAATGAACTTGCTACTAATGTAACGTACACGTTAAAAAATGTATTTGTTAAAAGGCAAGAATTATATTGGGGAAAATTTTGTTAAAAGTAATTGATGCCATCCTATGTCTACGCTCCTAACAATGTTCAAGATCAAATGGCATTTTCTGTGAACTCAAGTTCGGTAGGGGGAGTGGATATTAGGGGAGCCAATTTACAGTTAGGCAATTAAAACAACAAGATTGACTGTATCTTAGAGAACACTCTTTATCACCTACGACCTTGAGATCATTTCTTACGTACGATAACGTGTTGATACACGTAGCCTCGTATGACTAATTAGTCTACACCATAATTTCCTAGGATGTCTTATCAACACTAATGCAACGAGAACTCCGAATCGACACATGGCCAGAATATTATAAATAGCGATGAAACAGAGAGTAAGGGCACGTACAATCTTCTTCACCAAAAAAACATACCACCATCACCGAAACCTCCATAATCATCACTAGAGCTATCGTCCAACCACCTTCTACTGTTGTCATCTACTTTACCAGTCAGCAACACCTTTTTCTGGAATCACAAGTTTCACAAAATCTTGTTGAAGTCCACAACACTGCTTCTTTAATCTCTTGGTCAATTATGGGTAATTGACCCTTGGTGTTAGTTTAGTAAATAAATGTCTAAAGTTACTATATAAGTGCAGATTGGCACTAGCTTAAGCATATATGCAAGTATTCAGTCTCTTATTTTCTTCTCTAAATACTTTCTCCTCCTACTTTCTTATTTTTCTTTTCTTTCTTTTGTGTAATTCTTGAGTGTTAATATTAGAGAGCGAAACAAATCTGTGCAAGACATTAAGAATGCATGCAGTAACAAGAGAATAAACTGCCCGACGTTGGCTTCAAGAAGCTGAAGAAAGCTTTGAAGAAATGTCCAAGAAAGGGGTACTTAACATACGACCCCAAACCAACTAGTTTCTTCTCTTGTCTCAGCATGCACTCCTGATATTTCTTATCAGAAGATGCGCCTGTAGGCACTATGGGATGTGAGAAAGCTCACTGCAAGTGTTCTTCCACCCAGGGTACAATCTTTTTTATCTTTGTAGGTATATATTTCATCGGTGATCAATTATTCTTCCTTATAATGCTGTATTTTACTTGCACTTTTACGCCATTTTCGGTTCGGATTGGCCTTTAAAGTGTAATTATGAAGTAACTTCCATAACCTAGGGTTGTTCTTGAAATCTTGTGCTCGTGTTGAATTCAAGGTATTTTCTATTGTATATCAAGTATATATAGGTGTGCCGTCCTTTGAGTAGAAGGGATCTTCCCCATTTTTCACTGACAATAATCGAAGGCATGCACAAACCAAACTACCTCGATGGTAAATGAATTGTCATTCCTTAAGGTCTCAGTTTCGAGCCCCAAAAATATCAATGTCAGGATGTGAACATTCAATGTCAAAAGGAATTGTTGTTATTCTAAAGTCTCGGATTCGAGCCCCAGAAATGGAATTGTCATTCCTTGAGGTCTCAGATTCAAACCCGTCCTTGAGGTTTATTTTATATTTGGATTTTATAATAAATTAAATATTGTTGTGCTAAGAAAAAGATTGGGGATTTGATATGACAGAATCACAGTTTAATATGAAGCATTTGAACTCATGTGGAAAACAGTAATAGCATGGAACAAAAACTAGTTTTTAAACAAAAGACGTAACTAAACATGTTTTTAGCATAAATTACTTTTTAAACAAAACATGTAACAGAACATGTTTTTAGCATAAATTACTTGCAAGAACCCGACAACTAAATGGATCATCTAAACCATAATCACAGTTAAATTCCCAAAATTCTATGGGTACCTGAAAACATACAATCACCATGAGTACCCTCAAGACCAATATCCAAGTATGAGATCAGTTACCAGGAACTACCCGCTAAATTCTCGAAATCGGCCTCGACATTTTGAATGTCTTTAGTAGTATCATCTGCACATACTTTAAGTGAGGCAATTTCAGCTATTTTACTCTTCTTCCTCTGCAACAGTAATGCTTGCTTTTCTTCTAGTTCTCTCACCCTCTTTTGGTTTGCATCGATCTCTTCATTTATTTTGGTTAACTCATCAGAATATTGTTTTCCTTGCAGTACTACTTCTTTTGAATGTTGTTGAAGATGTCCATGTCTATCTTTTATCTTTAGCAACTCACTTGTTCGGTCCCTTACTGCCTTCACATTGAATCCAAGAATTTCGAATTCAGGAAGAACATCCAAAATGGTAGTAAAAAGGTTCCTAGGACCAGCAACTGTCAACTCAGAAGTCTTCTGCACCAAGGATGCAAAGTTCAACGTATAAGCAACAGCTAAACCTTCACGGAGAATTTCTTTTGATTGAACCAGCTGTCGAAAATGCGGGTTTTGAGGCATGACTTTGAAGATTTCCATAGATTCAACTGCTTTCCAGATTTCTAGGCTCTTCACAAAAGGTAAACCTTGACCCTCCACTCGCTCATTGTCACCTGACAAGCCAGCTAAAGGAGACTGCACCATTGATTCAAGTGGTTTCTCCCTTGGATCATTCCATTGATTTTCAAATCCAGGGGGGAAATCTCCTAGGTACAAACAATATCAGGATCAGAAAATTTACTGAAAAAGGGAACATGAATCATTATAATATGCTACATTATTTACCCGAGTCATTTCCGTGGCATATTATTTGAGGTTGCTCTTCCTTTTCTTGAAGAACTCTGCCAGACTCTCCAGCCACCTTGGTTATTTTTCTCCGAGAATATGCCCTCTCTATTGACATTGTTTGAGAGCCTATAAAATCAAGAACTAGTGATGTAAAATCAAAAACAAAAAGAAAAATAAAGGACATGGAAATTACATCCTTCCTATCGAATGCATTTCTCAGTAGTTAGTTCAAATAAGTCATGACTCGCATATGCAAGTTAGTACCATTGTCAACAATTTAATCTGCAAGCAATATCCTACTATCCTAATTCTTATTATATACGAGTTACTGGTTCATTCACAAGGTTTTAATAAACGCTAAAACAACACCAATATTTATTAAGCTGAAGCAGATTTTATGTTGTACCCAACCTGCTAGCTCCAACCCTGAGATCACAGATGACTCAGCTTCTGTTACAGCAGCATTTATATATTTTAAAAAATAAAGCAGTAGAAATAAGATCTTATGAAATTAGATGATAATAGAAACTGGTAGCTTCAAGTTATTCTACTTTACCAACAGGAGGAGATCGGGTGATTCGAAGCACTGATTTTGGTTGCCTGCTTTCCAGCAAACCATCTTCTTTCCGATGTCTGCTCATACCATGTTCCTTCTGCAGATTCATCTCCTGCATGGATAGGAAACAAGTTCGAAAAGCAATTCCTTTACTCTGTCTCACTCTATTATGTCAATGTACAAGGGAAGAATTTTAAGACATCATGGTCTTTTTTCCCCCCACAATGTTCGTGAAGTAAATCAAATGAACAAGTAAAATTCAAAATCTGACGTAAAGAAACAATCGTTCCTTACAACTTCGTTGAAACAACAGTGTTTCTGCTTTTTGTGTTTAAAGAAAATGAGATATTATAACAGTAGTGATTTAAAGGTCAACATCGGTTTCTTTTTAGCAATCATATGTTTTATCAATGCTTTTATTGCATTCCAAGGAACTTGCAAAAAATGATAAAAAAAATTGCAATATTTTGTAAAACATGGAGATACAACCCACATCATCTTCGGAAGTCAGTTCAGGATCCCCACAATCCATCCCTCCAACAATGTCATTACCTCACCCATACCGGTCACTAACCACATACTCATTGATAACAATTATCTTCAGTGATCTCAGTCAGTTCTCATGTACATCTCAGGGAGGGGTTAGGTGGAGAACCACCCCCTGATAAACCAGACTAAGGATTTGAAACAGAGTAGTCTAAAGTAATAATCTCATCCTTTAATCCTTCCCTTACCGACTTTCAATCCCCACCCAAAAAATAGCAAATTTACTTTAATAATGGTGATTTTATATTGAGATACAATGCTAATAGTAAATATCAGTACTCTAACTTCCTCTACACTTCAAAACAAGAGTTATTAGGAAAACTTTCAGATTCAAAGAGTATGAGTTTGCTAAGCTTACATGTTTGAGCTTCTTGGAAGGATGTAAAGATGTAGAATCACCTTTACGTGTTGACTGCCTTACTTGCTTACTCTTTGCTGGTTCTATAGATGCCATCAATGGACTCATCTTATTCTTTTTAGAAATTACACGGAAATGTTCATGCTTTTTGCTGCTACTTTTTACAGCATCAGGACTTCCAAGCTGAATATTTGCCTCCGCATCTCTGACAATGTTGCATGATAGCTCCAATTTTTGACGATCTGAAGAGGAAACTTCCTGAAGAAAAAAGAGGTCCAATTAAGTGCGCAGAAAGCAACTTGAGCACACAATTTTTCAGGCCACTATTTTGTTGATTCTATGCCTCAAACATGTGCCAAAGCATGGGCAAAATTGCAAAATGGTTCACTTATTTCAACTAGTTTATGTTGCATGGTAAGTTGAGCAGAAATGAGTTCAAATTAGCAGACCAAAATCAGATCAATGAAAATTCCTTGCCAGGAATAGTGACCCTAAAGATAACAAAAACAAAAGACTAGTAGTCAACCGTAAGTGTCAAGCTACTTAGGCACTATAAATGAAGCCAAAACTGATATACAGTACACCACATCAGATGAAAATTTTGGAGCCCGGAAAGCAATTGCATTTGGAAAAGAAGCATAAAACATTTAAAACCAAGAAGGGAATACCTGAAATTTGGAGGGTTTAACCCATCTTCCATTATCCCATTTCCAGTGAGGTCTCAAATTAGAAGAAGAAAACTCAATCTTTTCAGGTGGATCTGGAAAAGACACAATATACCTCTTCAGGTTGTCAATAACTTCAGAAACAGAACCAGTCCACCACCCATCAAGGTGAAACGCATCCACAACATCGTTTATTTCAAAACACTGATCACCAGGGATTTTGAGCTCTGGAGGTAATGGCCTAATAAAGGAAAGCTCAACACTTTCGGTTAATGGCGTTTGATTATCATCTTCGAGTAAGTGTTTGTACTGAACCAAGACCTTGCCTTTAGTTTTGTCCTCTAGGAGTTTCAGAATGGTACAAGTAAACCATGCTCCTCTGAGACCTTCTTCATCAGAGGCTACTTCGACCTCTCTGCCTTCACTCAAAATTAACTCACCATCAATGTCTCCCTCCATTGTTTTAGTTTTGTTGGTTTCAAGAGAAAGATGTTTCCGCAAAGAAAAAGGTACTTTATCATCCTTTTTGTCAGAAGGTACCTCCTTAAATACAGCTAGATCTTCACCAGATTCACTCTCATTCTCATTTTCATCCCTTTCTGGATTAGTGTCTGAATCATCAAATCTAGGTGTAAAGGGTGTTCGGGGCAACTGACATGCTTCACTGCCTTGGCTGACAGATTGTTCAGCACCTTCTATTGGTTGCCTAAGAGCACCAGGCAACATTGTTCCACTAACCTTTTCATCTAAGTGCTCGACATAGATATCTACAACTTTAGTCTTCCTTAACTGACTTGTCATTTCCAGAACCCCTTTATCATCCAATATTAATTTCAACCCTCCATCCAAAGGCTTCCCCTCCTCTACATAGTATACTTTCACTGCCATCCCTATATCGTATCCTAAGGACTTCACTGCTCCTAGTACAGTCCAATAACAAATGCAATCAATATCTTCATCATACTCAACTTCAGACCCATTTATGTATTGAACTGTTGGAGCTCTCAACAATTTCCCCCCGTGATGATACCTTAGCTTACAAACACTAGTACTCATGCTACAAAGACAATAAACAAATAAAAAAACATAATTACAACACATACAAGACATATAACCGTGCAAAAAAAAAAACTATACTAAACACTGTGCCATATACAAGTTTTTGTGCTCAAGTAAATTAAATGGCAAGCACTGAAGTGATTTTACGGTGTTCACGGCTTTTACTATAATTTACTAATATTCCTATCTTTTCTTTAGTAAGGATTAACCAAAAACACCTACTTCAAAGTTGAGCAAAGGCCATTTTGCTTTGTTAATTGCTTTTTTGATTAACTTTAGACAAATTGTTTTCATGTGGTACTTGAATTTGACAATTTTAACATGTGATGATATGGTATTTTTGCCACACGTCACGACCTTCGTGGATGTTGAGATGCCACATCACGACAGGCACCACATTAGAACAAAATGACAAGTTCAGGTACCAAATTGGAAAAAATGAAAATTTTAAGTACCGAATTGGACAAAAAAAACATAGGGACCACATTAGAAAAGGTGAAAATTCATGCAGCAAATGGTATAGTAATCCTTGATTTATTTATTAGAAAAAACTTAGTTACACTTATTTATGTTAATACTTGATTTATAATAGACATTAACTCATCAGTTATTTTACTAATTAAGTTGATATCACTTGAATCACAATAATAATCATCATGTTTCATAGAATCATAGTAAGACATGAAAAGTCAGTGGTCAGCTCATCTCTAAAGAAGTTTAATTTCAAGATGTTCTTTCCAGGTTTCAAGCTTCTCCACGACTAATTCCAATTTGGCAGTCCTTATAGGAACTTAAATAGCGGTCGGGTAGCGGAATAGCGGCCGTTATATAGTGGTAGCTGCAGCGACTGAAACTGTTATTGTCGAAAATAGCTCCAATAACGGTGGATCACGACCACAATTTAATAATAACACCAATTGCGGAACCGCTATTGCCGTCATTGTTCTGTTACGAAAAATATTTTTAAAAAATCCAACAGTCCATTGCGGCAATTAAAATTATTATATTTTACAATAAGTTGTCCCAATTTAAAAAAAATCATGACAGTGGCAAACAAAAAACGTGACCGCAACCACAATTTAAATAGCTACTCCATATGCTTAAGACCAAATAATATCATCAAAAGCATTAAAAGCAGAGAAGTAAACTAATACAAACGATATATCACAGACAAGCAGGGGACCACTTGGAACAATTTTATGGCGGCCAAACAGCACATCAAATACCGATTCATATGCTTCCACAGTCCCATGCAAGGCCACGTAACAATAAACGTAATATAAAACCAAGTAGAACAAGCATCGGGGTCTAGCAAAGATACCTGTCCTCTTCGACTCCACTCTCGACTCGTATTCCAAATCAGGGTTTCTACGAAATGCTCACCCAGTGGTACAGTCTCGGGTTTGGGGTTTCGAAACAGGGTTTCTATGAAATGCTTGTCCAATGGTCCAAAGAATTTTGGGGTTTCGAAAAACCGATTTTTAGTCGGCTCCTGAAAATCTTCACAGGATTTACAATGGTCGCTTGGAGTTGTCTTTTCAGTTTGATCCCCTTTTTTCCGGTTTATTTTTCTTTTTTCTTTTTTCTTTTTAATACAGCTCGTCATGATTAATTGCGTTTTGCCAATCAATTGATATATTATATATATATATATATATAAACTCAACTAAACCCTAAACCCTAAATCTAAAGTCCTAGACTCATGAAGCCTTAAACTCTTAATCATGAACTATAAACCCTGATTTTTAAATCATTAAATGTAAACTCCAACCCTTATGCATTGTATCCTTGATTCTAGGCCCTTAACTATAAGTCTTAAACCATAAATCATTAATTCTAAATTCTAAACCACTAACCCTTAATCATATATCTTAAACCATATAATTCTAGCTTTAAACCCTTAACCTCTGACCATAAACATGCCACCACCGAGGTACGTAAAATAGAAGAGTCTATAGTAAAACTCCACCCGGATAAAAGACCATCAAACAATGTTTTATTAGTTTAAATGATTATAATGTTATATCTATTCGGAAAATTTTCAATTATTGTAATAAACATTCAAACATATTGCAGAAGTCGTGTTCAAATTTAATATTAGAAAAAAAGTTGAAAGTAAGAAATTGAGTAATAATTTGATACTTGTTAATGATGGAAACAATGTCTTAATGTGCAAACTTTTTTTTTTAAAAAGGAAAGAAATGACCTGATTCAAAAATAAATATCTTTACTCGAATCCGATCCAAAAATTTATATCATAAATTCAATTGGATCCAATCCGAAAAAATATATCTTCCACTTTAGAGTATAAATCCAATCTATTCCAACCCCGTATAAATTAAAGGTTTAATTTAAAATAATAATAACTTTTTAAGGAAGTTACATTATTATCTCCAGATCAGGTCGGGACAGAGTTTTTTACCATTCACCCGAATTCTACCTCACCTCTTAAAAAATCTGATCCGATTCGACTCGAACTCGAAATTTAAAAAAAAATAATAAAACACTATCAAATTTGATAACATCAAAACCATCGAATTCGAATTAAATTGTCGTCACTAATTAGTACATCTATATGATGAAAACTTGAGTTGGGTTGGATAATTTTAGGCCGACATTGATTACTTCGCAGTTAGCGGATCATTTCGTTGTGTATCTAAATGGACTTTTAGAAGACGGTTGAAAAAAGATTCACATTATTAGATGTCTTTGAAATCTTAGACTAGGAAGCCGGTCAACATACGCTTTTGATTTTAGAGCAACCCATCTTAGCACTTAGTCATACACAAATTGATGTTGTGTCTTTTTTTAATTAATACGAGTTAACTATGAGATAATATTCGTTCAAAGATCCTCAACCGTTTGATAATGAACACTTAAATTTTAAGCATATGCGGTGTTTGAAATTGATACATCAAGATATAAAAACAAATGCTTTAATCACTGATGTCGTTCTGTTCGTGCATATATATTAAATTATCATATTCAAGTATATGACATGATATAAGACAACAATAGTCCAAATATTTCTATAGAGATTGGTACTCATATCCAAAATCTCTAAAAACAACAATTATTTTTTTAATCATTGAAATCTTACTCATGTCGTACAGTTAATTTTAGTGGGTGAGTATCTTAACAGAGAATTTCTATATACACAGGGACCCGAATCTGAGATTTACTTAAATAATATCAAGTTACTTACTACTTAAATCAACCCGTCAATTTTGTCCACGTTCAATTAAACTTGAATATTTTATATCTTGAAAATTGGAGTAGGTAACTACGTAAAATCATATCCGTTTGAAGCTGCCTATACCAATGCTGTTTTTATTAAAGCACAAAGAAAAATGATTAATTAAGTTGTGTTTAGCATCGCTCTTGTCTGTTTGAAAACATTTTTTTATAAGCAAAAGAAGTCAAAATCAAGTGTTTTGTTATTGGAGTCAAACTGAGAATTATTTAGCAACTGCGTGTTCGATGTTCCAGAAAGCACTAGGTTTCGAAAGGAAATTATTTTATTATATGTCCACTTTGTAATTTTTTATATTAAAGTATATAATTATTTTAAAATTTAATATCAAAATAAGTGTTTAAATTATATCGTTTTTCGAATAGGTGTAAATTATTATTTCTTCTCATCTATGTGTCTAATGTTACAAACATTACCATTTTAAATGCCTCGTTTTAACAGTCATAAAAAACCTGTTAATTGATATGTGTCACAATTTGATAAATTTAAAAATTTGTTTTTAAAAAATTAAAAAAACCCAAGTTTTCCCTAAAATATATAAAAAAAAAAACCTCAAACTCTCTAAATTTTTATTGTAGTCTCTTTACTTCAACCGTCGATCATCTCCGGCCATCTATCCGCGGGCGACTGACCACCTATACGTCAGCGACCACTCATTAACCTATCATAACCCTTGATAGCATCTCAAAACTTAAAATTTTCAAATCTATAAACTTCACTCTCGAATCCCTAAAATCCAAAATATCCAACCTTAAGTCTCTTTGCCCAATAGTGCTAATTGATTGTTTATCCGACTGTAGCAGCTGACCACTTGACTATTTGAGTTTTGATCGTTTGGCCATAGAAACTGAAATCACGAAAGGGTAGGGAAGGAGAGCAAAGGAGGGGAAGAGATGGGAGGAGATGCATGCAGGTTGAGTTTTTTTTTTAATAATATAAATATTTTTAAAAAATAAAAAATTCAAAATTTTAAGATTATGACACGCAACACTTAACGAGGTTTTATAATAGTCGTTATGACCGATGTACTTAAAGTGATATTGTTTGTAACGTTAGGCATATGGATGAGTCAAGAAATAACTTAAACACTTATTCGAGGAAAACGATATAGTTTGAGCACTTAGTTTGGTATTAAGCCTTATTTAATAAAAAAATTAATAATTATTTTATAATTTTTAAAAATTTATTTTAATAAGTAAATATATTTGGTCGGCTAACCAATGTGTTCATCTTATTCTCTCGTATTTCTTTGGGTCATGTGTTATAGATTCACTAGGAGTACACTCCCTCATTCTCTCATTTCTAGATAAGATTATGATTAAACTTAGAATTAGTCAAAAATATTATTTTAATATAATTTAATATTTATAAATTTATCTTAAATTTTTATTTATTTTTGTCAGTATAGCATTATACAATAATTAGTAATACCCTGTTTTTTTTGGTAAATTACATATTTAATATTTTAATTATTATTTTTGTTTTATTTTGGTAGTCACACTTTTTTTTGAAACTATATACCTAACATTTTGTTTACGTTTTAAAGTTGACATCGCGTTGTTAAAAAATTTAAACGATAATATTGACGTGTTAATATAAGGTGATATCACATCATCATTGAAAAATAAAAATAAAGCGTCAACAATTCTATTTATTTTTTAACATAAGGTATGAACTAAAAATAAATAAAATTTAGGTACTAAAACAGAATAAAAATATAGGCTAAACTATGTATTTAGTACTT